TAGAGATAATGTTACGTAATGCTCTTTCGGAGTAATAAGCAAATAAAATTCATTTTTTTTCTTAAGGTTAACCACTTTGGCTTGCAAACATTCGAAATGTTACGATTTAAAACAAGAGTAGAACGACTTAAGTAAGAAATAACAAAAAAAAAAAATAAAAGCTGTTGTTCATTGGAATATACGGATGATGACGGTCCGTATAGATATATACGGACCGGGATCGGTCCGAATATAGGCAATCCGTGGCATTTTTTTTATCTTAAATCTAAATTAAATTTAGTGTGAATATATACGGACCGGTATTGGTCTGAATATATGCAAAGAATAAAGAAGCTTCCATGCTTTTCATGTTTCAGACCAAGTTTGGTCCGAATATAGTAGAAAAAATCCAGAAACTTCTTCCAGTGCACATTTTTATTCTTTTCATTTAAGGACATTACCATCTTCTCATGTTCTAAATCCATTCCTGCGAAAACCAATTGCATGTACATCAACCCTACAGTCCCTTGGAACCACAAAACCATCGATTGCCTACCTGAAATTATCTTACGATACTACGGAGTAATATCGTTGCAAAACCACGAACGTATAAGTTAAAGGTCATTAGAGATAATGTTATGTAATGCGCTTTCGAAGCAATAAGCAAATAAAATTAATTATTTTTATTTAGGTTAACCACTTTGGTTTGCAAACATTCGGAATGTTACGGTTTTAAACGAGAGTAGAACGATTTAATAATGAAACAAAAAATAAAATGAAAAGCTGTTGTTCAGGGGCATATACGGACTGATCCCGGTCTGTATATATATACAGACCGGTATTGGTCCGAATATAAGGTCGTATATACCGGAAATGAAACCCAGGAGGGGAACCTGCTGTGAGGTAATATACGGACCGATCCCGGTCTGTATATACATATACGGACCGGGATCGGTCCGTATATCATGCAAAAAAAATCTGTTGAAGTTACAGAAAACAGATTTACTTTATTTAATAATTACATAATATTACCAAATAATGCAAAAATATATTTTACCATTCAAATTAAATGCATTTTATAAAAAAATAAAATATGTTTAGAATAATTACTTAAAATAATGACTTAAGATATCTAAAAGTTTAATTATATTATCCATGAAAAATTTTAAAATTCACGAAATATAACGTAGGAAAAAAAATTGAAAAAGCTGTAGTTCAGGGAATATACGGACCGATGACGGTCCGTATAACTATATGCGTACCGGGATCGGTCCG